GCACAGCTGGAGGAGCAGGGCGAGGCTGGAAGTGTCCGGGCGATGCGATACACAGCTAACCCAGAAGAGGCAGTGGTGGACGCAAACAGGCTTGAGGGAGGGAAAAGAGAAAGCAAGGCCAGGCAAGAGCAGGGCCCGGGGCAGAAGAAGCGTAGGAGGGAGAGATAACAGAGCTGAGGAAAAACAGGAGGAGAAAATGAGCCTGAAGGGGTGAGGGGAGGGAGCCTGTGAAAAACAAAGCTCTGCTCTCAGGGCATTTCAGGTCAATGACCCCGGGTATTAGGGTGGGAAAACTGCACTGTGTGGCTGTCTAGTCCTCAGCCTATAATCCCAGCTCCCTGGGAGGCTGAGGCAGGAGAATGGAAAGTTAGAGGCCAGTCTGGCCAATTTAGCAAGAGATCACTGTGTCAAAAAATATATAAGCAAAATACTAAATTAAAAAGGGCTAGGGTAGCAGGGCTGCTGAGGGTGTAGTTCCCTGCAAAGGGCCTGGGTCCTCTCCTCTACTGCAATAGCAATAGCGAGGCCAAGCTTGTGCCAAGAATTGTGAAGCCCAGCATAGTTTACCCTGTGTCTGAGATGGATAGGGAAGAGGGCAAAGGAACACAGGGCAGTGGAGACAGAAAAGTAAAAGGAGCTGGGCCAAGTGGCACACGCCTGTAATCCAGCCATCTCGGGAGGCTGAGGCAGGATAGCAAGTTCCCGCTAAACTGAGCGAGACAGTCTCAAGAATAAGTTAAAAAGGGCTAGGGACGTAGCTCAGGGATACAACACCCATACTTCAACCTCCAGTATGCCAAAAATAAGAAGGGTGTAATGGGTCAACTCACATTTTAGATTATAAATGTAAATCCTGTTTTCAGTGGTGTAAAAATGTATACTCACCACTGTTCTAAGTTGTTTAGTAACTAGTGGCTGTTTCTTGATGTTTGCTAGGATAAAATTCCTGTAACCCTCACCAATTCCTGCTAGCTTACAAAGATGACTTCAAAGGGGGCCGGGGAGATGGCTCAGTGGAATAAGCACTTCCCTGGCAAGCACAAGGGCCTGAGTTCAATCCCCAGTTCTGCCATTAAAAAAAAAAGACATAACACAAAATTTAGAAAAGGACGAGGTAAACAAATCTGAGAGCTGAAACAAAAGCGGGAAGACTCCTCCCTCCCCCACACCATCGAATACCGGGAAACAGTTACCAATGTGGGGAAAGAGAAACTGAGGCAAAGTTACACAGAATCACACTCAGAAGCCCAGTTAGAGGCGCAGCAAATCTTTATTCTTTATTAATTGAGGCCCCTCCAGGAGGCCGGCAGGGTGGGGCAGGGCCTGCGGCTGGCTGAGGGGTAGGACTGGGTCGGGGTGGTGCTGGTGCTCAGGGTTTCTGGCTGGGCACGGGGGTGCTGGCACCCACGGCTGCCTGCACCTTCTCGATGAGATCGGCCCACTGGCGCCTCATGTCTTCCACCATGGGCTCGAACCAGCCCTTGAGGCGCGTCTGGAAGGCCTCGGCCTGCTCCTCAATCTTGACCCGCACCTCCTCCATCTGCTCGCGCATCTCCTCCAGGCGGTCCTGTGCCTGGCCGCGCACCTCCTCTAGCCGCCCGCGCAGCTGCTTGCCCCAGGCCTGCGCGCGCTCCTGCAGCGGCTGGCCCGTCAGGGCGGCGCGCACGCGGCTCTGCTCCACCAGGGACCCCAGGCGCTCGCGGATGGCGCTCACGCCGCGCTCGGCTCCCTCGCTGGCTCCATCCTTGTACACCGCCAGGCGTTTCTGCAGGTCCTCGGCGTCGCGCAGCATCCGCTTGCGCAGCTTGCGCAGGTGCGAGGCCAGGCGTGCACGCAGTTCGTCGGCGCTCTGGCCCAGCATGGCCTGCATCTCGTTGCGGTACTGCGCCAGGCGGTTGCGCACCTCCTCCATGTCGGCCCCGAGCCGCGCCTGCGCAGCCTGCAGCTCCTTGGACAGCCGGGCCTTCGTGTCCTCCGCCATTGGTACTAGTTCCTGTTCCAGCTCGGATTTGTAGGCCTTCACCGCCTTCATGGTGTCTTCCATGAGCACCCTGTGGCCCAGGGGAAGGCGGGGGGAGCACGGCCTGGTGAGGCCTGGGTCAGGGGGACCCAAAGGAGGTCAAGGAGGGAGGGGAGACAGGCCCAGAGAGGAGGCAGACAAATGCAGAAGCAGAGAACCAGAGAGGTGAAGCTATGGGGTCGAAACCAGATGTAGTGGATTATATCTGCGATCTCAGCACTCTGGGAGGCTAAGGCAGGAGGATTCCAGAGTGCAAGATCCAGCCAGGCCCAGGCAATTTAGACATAACATTAATAATGGGCTAGTGAGACTCAGACGTGGCTCAGTGGTAGTGTTTGCCTACCACTTGTCATACCCGGAGATCAGTTGCTAGTACCACCAAGAACGGGCAAGGCCAGTGCTAAGGCCTGGGGCTTGATCCTCAGTAGTAGGAAAAGAAAGAAAAAAGAAAGCAAAGGCAAGAGATGGTGATGAGGATGAGTGTCCAGAGGCCCAGGGGCACCACCCAGCGCCAGGGCCCAGGCCAGCTTGGGGCACTCACGTCAGTTCCTGGGTGACCTGGGAGCTGAGCAGCTCCTCCTGCACCTGGTCAGACAGGGTCTGTACCCAGCGCACGTAGTCCCAGAAGCGGCCCAGCGCCAGCTCCCAAGGCTGCCCACTCTTCCACACCGCTGGCTCTAGCACCTCTGGCTCTGGCTCCACATCTGCCCGGCATCCTGTGAGGAGCAAGTTCAAGCAAGGTTGGGTCAGGGCCCCTGTGCCCCATCCTGCACACAGGACTCTGCCCAGATGAGGTGCTGCTGAAATGGCCTTCTCTCCTGGGGATCCTTGGGGGCAGGGAGGGGTGGAGTGCATTTATTCATGTGATAAGTCTTTGGAGAGAAGATCTCCCTGTGTAGTCCAGATTGGTCTTGAACTCACTGTATAGTCCAGGCAGCTGGCCTCAAATTAATTAATTAATTAATTATTTTTTTTGCTGGTCAGGATGCCTTCAGGGCAGGACTGGTTTGGCTTGAGGATGAGGGGATCGAACCACAGCATCCTGAGCCTGACTGCTTTGTTTCAGCAGGGACTTAAACACCTGAGCTAATGGGCATGGCCTCAAATTTAGAGATCCTCCTGCCTCAGCCTCTTAAGTGCTGAGATTACAGGCTTGTACCACCACACCCAGCAAGCACATACTGTTCTTCGGTGCCCCATGTAGGACTATGCACCGTAACAGAATAAAATCCCATTACAGCCCACTATGTACTGGACAACAAAGCTTTAGGAACTGGTACTTACAGGGGTAATGGCCATAATATGGGTGGGAAAATTGAGGCCTAGAGAGAGTCAAACAGCTGCTCAGAGCTGGTAAATGTCTAGGAGCCTCAGACTTGGCCTCTGTCTCATGAGGGACATGGGCCAACAGAAGAGGGGATCCTGGGCTTGAAGGGGGCCAGAGAGTGGAGACAGTGTGGCTTGGGGACTTGAACAGGCCCCGCCCCATACCTGCCAGAAGCGTGACCACCAGCACCGTGCATAGGACCTTCATCTTCACGCCTGCAATTGGTCAGCCTAGGGAGGGAGGGACTGTCAATCAGCAAGTGAGAACTCCGCCCACCTCACCCCCCTTCCAGTGCCTGGCCCCTGCCCCATCCTAATCTGCTCACACTCTCCTAACCTGCCCAGCCTAAACCAATCACAAAACACCGAGCGCCCCTCCCCCCCAGGTCTACTTAACTCTGGCTTTGTCTTTTGCTATCTCTCCATCCCCCAGGTCAGCTGCCAAAATTCCATCTCCCTCTCTTGGGTTCAAATTCCACTCCACCGCCGCCTCAGCTCCATCTGAAGCCAGGCTGGGCTCCGCAGTGGTCTGTCCGAGCGTTCAAAGCTCCAAGCCTGCGTCGGAGCGCAGCTCTTCATGTGTGGGCTGATTTAACCCTCGAGTAAAAGTCCTCTCTCAGACTGGTCGGGCCACCCACCCCTGCACCACTAGAGACGGAAATCTCAGAACCATAGGGGCATCCAGTAGGTGCTCAACAAATGACAATTCCCGGGCTCTGACTGTGGCGCGGGTCCTGGTTCTTACTCCAGGGCCTGGGCCCTTCCCGGGGTCCAGCCCCCAGCTCCCATCAGTCCTGTCCAGGTACAAGCCAGTTACTTGTGGTCCCCTGCTCGTACCAGGGGGCTCCCCTGAGCTTCCCGCCTTCTCTTTCTTGCCTCCCATTCTTCCCGGAGCCCAGGGGATCCTGAGGTCCCCAGCCACGTCTTACCAAGGACCCTTCGGTGGTCCTCCGCCCCGACGGCTTCTCTCACCGACCACTGCTGAAAGGATCTCTTCGATCTCTGCAGGGTCTGAGCAGATCCAAGGGATCCTGAACTCCTCCAATTTATAAGGCTCCCCTGCCCCGCCTCTCCCTGGGCCAGCCCCTGTCACGCGGCTATTCTCCCCCCACACACAAGGGAGTGGGGAGAGGGAGGGGCGTGGGGCTGGAGGTATTGTGCCCCCCTACCACTCCCAGTCTTCTACAAAGGAGGTGAACCTTCACCCAGTAGCCTGGTGTGTTGAGTGTTCTAACCCTCCCAGTGGTCAGATGAGTATGGCGGGGGCGGGGGGTGGGGGTCGTGGGCAAAAGTGAGGGAAGGCTAAGTGAAACGTGGGCTTCAACTCGAAAGATTCCTCTTTGGGGCAGGCAGGCATCTTGGGGACCCCTTTCCCACGTGTGAAATGGGAACTCAGCGCCCGGCTAGCAGAGGCAGGGTGGACAGATCTGATCCAGGAGCCGCCTACTCGGCGCTGTTCCTCAGGGTTTGAGGCAGCAATGCTGGGCGAGGGCTCCCGTACTACCCGGGCCTGAAGCCCAGCTCCGCCGGTTGCCGGCAGTGTGACCTTGGGCAGATGACTCAGCCTCTCTGAGCAGGGTTTTACCCAAAAAAGTGGAAAGCAAGGTATGGGAAAATAGCTCAAAGGTATAAGCACACATCTGGCAAGCACAAGGTCCCAGCGTTGGATTGTGTGTGTGTGTGTGTGTGTAACCGGGGATTGAACTCAGGCCCTTGTGCTTGCCAGGGAAGCACTTATGGTCCCAGCGTTTGATCCCCGGAAACCCAGAATATTAGTGCACAACACTAATCCCAGCACTCGGGAAGTTCAGATAGAAGGATCTCTAAGAGTTCGAGACCAGCCTGGGGGCTACAAAATGAGCACAGGGCCAGCCCGAACTGCAGTGAGGTCCTGCCAACAAAGAGTAGCAGTGTGTGTCACGCAAATCAGTAATTCCAGCCCTCTCTGGGAGGCCAAACCAGATTAGCCTAGGTCTCAAGAAATGTAATGGAGGGGCTGGTGAGATGGCTCAGTGGTCTAAAGCGCCTACTTAGAACAAGCTTAGCAAAAACAAAGGGACTGCGGTTCAATCCCCCAGCACCACATGCCAGCCAGCCTCGCCCCCTGGTGGGCTGAGCTGGCCACACAAATAAATTAATAAATAAATAATTAAAAAGAAATGTAATGGAGAGGCAGGAACACTAGAATCTGCAGGGCCATCGGCTACCCCACCCAGGCCGTCTGTTTGCTTTAAACTCAGGACAGGTGGGTGTTCTCTCAGGGCCACTAGGGGATCATCTCTATTCACTAGCTCCCCCAAACCCTTAGGGCAGGCCCTAGAACCCTTCCTGCAGCAGCTCCTGGAAATTCAAAGCCCCAAGCCCCGCATCCCCTGCCTTTTCTGGGATCAGGAAAACCCCGAGGCCAGCTCTACCCCAATCCACACTAGGAGTTCCTTTGGTTTGCTGGAGCAAAGTCCTCCACAGCCACTCTGGCCAGGTCACCAAGGGGTGAGTGACCTCAGAACCCCACTCCGCGGGCAAGGAAAGACGTGTGATGTGCCCAGGAAGAACGTAAGTCATGGGGCGCCAGTGTGATGCCGGGCCCGGACACCCCCACCAGCGCGCCCGTGGCACCACCGCCCCCTGCTGGCGACCGCGAGAAAATCCGGGCGAATTGCAGACACTGGAGAAAAGTAGGCTGGAGAAAAGTAGGCCCTCATCTGCTTTTTCCCCCATGTATATTTTTTGTATTTTTCTTTTCTTTTTTCTTTTTTTTTTCTGTAAAATGTCTTGGTTCTTCCATAACTTATAAACATGATTTATACCGAGGGGTAAAGGGGAGGGCGGGAGGGACGGGCTGGCGGCAGGGCGCTCCTCGCTGCCCCTCGGGCGGCTCCACGGGACACCACGCCACTCCTCCCTGAGGTTGTGCGGCCGCCTCTGCCCTGGCGCTCAGGCTCGAAGTTCTCGGACTCGGAATCCTCTGGGGCAGCCCAGGCCCTCTGGGCTCGCTACCGCTTGCGCTCAGAACCCTCGGTCCCAGGACCCCTCCTTAGCTGCGGGGTGGTGGCCCCCTCCTTTCCGCTGCCCCCGACCCCCAGGAGGGAGGGAAAGGAGGGGGCTGGGCGCCCTCTGCGGGGAGGGTCGGAGGCGCGATCTGAGGGCGCAGGCTCAGCCGATGGTGAGGCCGAAGCCACACTGGAACTTGTTCTTGCGGTGGTTTAGGAAGGCCCCGAGCGCCAGCGTCAGGGGCAGTGGCGGCAGCTTCTTCTCCAGCGTGGCTCCCACAATCCAGTTGCTGTCCACGGAGCCTGGGGTCGGGGGAGGACACAGCTGCGATGAGCTGTCCCCACTGTCCCTTCTGCCCCACAAGGGGACAGGAATGCACCCTTTGTGGAGACTGGGCCAGGACACAACCTCACCGACCCGCAAGCAGATGGCCTGAGCCCCAGCTCTCTCTCTGCCTGCTGACCACAGACTTGCGGGGAACCCACCCATCCTGCTCGTACTGAGTCATTTTATCTTGCCCTTGATCTCTGCGGAGACAAGGCCCAGCCAGAGCAGTGCTCAACAATGGCTGTTGTGACTGAAACTGCCTCTAAGGACTATACATGGGAACCTTCCCAATGGCCCAGGGCACCATGGAGATTGAACCCATCTGCCGTAGGTGGCCCCTTGCTAAGCGGGCAGGGAAGGCCCCATACACTGCTGTTTTCTGTTACCTCCTTTGACCTCAAACCTACTAACTGCTGAGTCACTTTTACCTATTTCCTATGCAAGGACATTGAAGCCTTTACCTTTGAAGAGGAGGTTGGCCTTGGGCAGGTCCAGCTGGTACCCGAAGGAGACACTGGTATCCTGCATCCTTGTGCTGGCCTCAAACTCCACGCCCACCTGCAGCTGCAGGAGCCAGGACAAGGCCCGAGGGTGAGCGCCTGCCTGGATGCCCAGCCTGGGAGATGCAGCGGTCACCCCACCTGCTCACCTGGTCACTGGCTCTGTGGTAGTATGTTGCATGCATGCCTGCCTGGCCTAGTGTCACTGTTGCCAACCAGTTGTTTACTGAAAGAGAACAGGGTGGGGGCAGGTGGGGGGACAGGACCATGTGAGCACCTGGGTTGCATGTTCACCCTTGGGGGCCTGCCCCCCAGCCCCTCCTCCCTCAGCCCCGGGGTCCAGGCCCAGCTCACGTGTGTATTTCCCAGCTAGAGACATGACGGTGCCCTCCTCCCCAGGTCGCCGGTGGTAGACCAGTTCTCCGCCCAGGGCCAGACAGGGTGTGATGCTCTGGAGGTAGTGGGCCACAAGGATTCCTGTGGGGAAGTGGTGGCCTGTCACACTGAGGTCAGCCTCCTGCTGTATGGCAGCTGAGTCAGCTGGGACCTCATCCCTCCTACAGAGCCCCATGCAACCAGGGCAGGATCCAAGCTCCAAGTCACTGTTTGCTGTCAGAACTTGGGAGAAGCCATGGCCAGGTCACAGCTGGGTTCAGGTCCTGGCTGTCCCCACCACAATCTAGTTACAGCTTGAGGGTGTGATGAAGGTGGAATGTCGGTCTCCCTACACTGTTGGTGGCCACTGCTGAGTCCAAGCTTCAGGTCCTCTGTCAGCGGCTGCGGTGCTGCCCCTAGGCCAAGGTCTGACACTGGTCTTTGTGTCTGGGGTCTTGCAAAGGACACATCACACGTGTGCTTCTCCAGAGTGATGGGACCAAGTGGAAGCAAGAGAGGAGACCGAGCAATCGACAGAGACAGAAGAGATGAATGACACTGGGTGAGGGCACCAGGGAGGATCCTGGAGCTAGGCTACAGTGTGGCTCAAGAGCAGAGCCCCGAGCACGCACAAGGCCCTGGTGCCATCCCCAGCACTGCACAGGAGAAAAAAGAAACATGGAAAAAGAGACTGATGACTCCTTAGTGAGACACCCCCCCAACCCCCCCCGCCCCCAGGACCAGGCTTCCACGGAGGAACCCTGTGGCTGGACAAGCACAGGGGTGTACAGGTGAGAGGGGGCCACCTGCTGGCAGAGATCCCCCATGGAGGGGGTGGGAAGGGAATGAAGCCCCTCTCCCCAGGTACAGACCCTGCCTCCGGACCTCCTCACTGAAGCTCGAACAGCACTGCTCTGCTGGGACACTGTGTGTAACTAATGGGACTTGAGATGTGGCCCTCAGCTTAGAGTCTGACCGTTACAGGGAGTCTTTGGACTGAGGACCAGGAGACCCAAACAAGTCTCAAACCATCCCTCTCTGGTACTGGGGGTTGAACCCAGGGCCTTTGCACGGAGCAACACCCCCAGCTTCTCCCCTGCCCTCTCCAAGGACCTCTAATATGACACAGGAATCCCTTGAAACACAAGCCTGACTTTATACCTAGAATCTGCCAACACCGTGGCACCCTCAGAGCGGACAGCACAGATGGCCTGATCCATCTGTGGGACCCCTGAGGCCCCACCGTGACCTTGTAGCTTTTCCCTAGGCTCTGACATGTGGAAAGTCTGCAGTGACAGATCCCACTTAGCCCTCAGTGGAGGGTAGTGACAGTGCTCCACGGTCTCTGCTACTGCCCCCGCCTCACACATCCTGACATGGGCTCTGCCCAAGCTGCACCTCACGGGATTCCCTCCTCACCGGCACCAGCCTGCCTCCAGCCCGAAGTTCTCAGCCAGCAGTCACTCACTCTGTTGTATGGGAGAGATCCCTGCTGGGTCTGGCTTGGGAAGGCCAGCCTGCCTCAGATAAGTGTGGCAGAGGTGCATAGCGTGGGTGGAGAAACTGGGGCCAGTTGGATTTTTTGTGGAACCGAACTCAGGCCCTTGTGCTTGCCAGGGAAGTGCTTATTCTACTAAGCCATCTCCCTGGCCCCTGGAGTATTTTTTTTTTTTTTAACTGCGGTACAGGGGATCAAACTTGGGACCTTGTGCTTGCCAAGCAGGTGCTTAAGCTGCTGAGCTATAACCCTGGCATAACCCTGGCCCAGAGGTAAATATTTTTTAAGGATTTGTGTATGTGATCACAGGACAAGTGCTTTTTATTTATTTATTTTTGACAAGTCCTTTGATATGTTTTCTTTAGTTGAGACAGCATCCTGCTGTGTAGCCCAGGCTGCTCTTGAACTTGCAGTGATCCTCCTGCTTCAGCCCTAGTTTGTTTTTTAAAATTTTATCAAAGCTGGGCATGGTGACAGAGCCTACCTAGCACTCTGGAACCTAAGGCGGAATGATTACTGTGAGTTTGAGGTTAGCCTAGGTGAGCTCAAGGGCAACCTGGAATATGGAGATCCTGTCTCATAAAGCCCACAATAAATACATTTAATTGAGACCGGTTTCTCTAAAGTGTTCGTGCGGACTCAAGCTTGTGATCCTCCTGCGTCAGCCATGGAAGTCAGTGGGGTTACAGGCATGCACTGCCACATATGGCCCATGGTGCCTTTTTATGAGGGTGCCCTTTCCTCAAATTCCCTGAGGAGTCCTCCCCTGCTGGACAGTGCCAGTTTATAGAGGCTGTCCCTGTTATTCAGGTTCAGACAGATCCTTCAAAGCAAAGCCAAATCTTTACCAAGGACATTTCTTTGTTGCTTTGACATAGAATCTATGTGAGGCAGGCTGGCCTTCCACGTGTAGTGATCCTGGCTCAGCCTCCAGAGCTGGGGTTCCAGGCCTGTGTCGTCATGCCTGGCTCCTAGGGGGGATTTCTTAAGCAGGAACTCACTGTGTCAATACTATTTTAAAAGAAGAGCCGGATATGGTGGCACACATCTATCATTCCAGCACTCAAGAGGTTGAGCAGGAAATTACCCCAAGTTCAAGGCCAGCCTGGAGTATAGTAAGATCTCATCTCAAAATGAAAAAAAAAAAGAGAATGTCTCTAGCCAGGTTCAGCAGTACATGACAGCAAGCCTAACTACTCAGGAGGCCGAGGCAAGGGGATTACCAGGTCAAGGTCAGCCTGGGCAATTTAATAAAACTGTTTGAAAATAAAAATTAAAATGGGCTGAAATGCAGAGATAGCTCAGCGGTCTAAGCGTCTGCCTGACAAGGACAAAGACCCAGGTTCAATCCCTTGTACCACATGCTGTGCTGGCTCTGCCCTAGGCGCGCCAAGCTACCCACCAAGACTGAAATCCTGAGCTGGGGAGATGGCTCAGTGGAATAAGTGCTTCCCTGGCAAGCACAGGGGCCTGAGTCCAATCCCCGGTTCCACCAAAAATAAAATAAACAAACCAAAAAATCCTTCTGCCACTGGGGGCCTGCCCCTTAGCTCAGCTCTTTAAGTGGCTGCTTCAACAAAGCTGTCAGGCTCAGGTTGCTGTGGTTCGATCCCCACAACTCAAGCCAGCCAAACCTGCCCTGAAGGCATTTGGAGAAAAATAAATAAATAAACAATTGCTAAAAAAAAGACTGAGATCCTGTACCAAATACATTAAAAAAAAGTTAAAGGCTGAGGCAGAAGTATTGGAGTTTGGGCTGGTGAGATGGCTCAGTGGTCTAAAGCACCTACCTAGAACAAGCTCAGCAAAGCACAGGGACCGCGGTTCAATCCCCCAGCACCACATGCCAGGCAGGCCCTGCCCCCTGGTGGGCTGAGCGGGCCACACACACACACACACAAATAAATATAATTAAAAAAAAAATTAAAAGTATTGGAGTTTGTGGCCAGCTTAGGCTACATGAGACTGTTTCAAAAGACAAAAAAGAGGGCCTGCTGGGTAGCTCAGTTGTTTAAGTGCCTGCTCACACAAACACAGTCAGGCACAGGATATCACAGTGTGATCCCCAGCTCCACCTGCCTTACCAGACCCGCCCTTAAGGCAGTCTGAGCCAGGGGGGGGGGGGGGGGTTCCTTCTCAACTTTTAGGGCTGGCCAGTAGGCACAGGGGCCAGGGATTCATCGTCCAGGCCTGCAGTGCTGGCCCCACCCCTGGGGCACTCTGAGATGACAACTGAAACTGGGCATGGTGGTGGGCACCTGTAATCCCAGCTCTTGGAGGCTATAAACAGGCGGATCACTACGAGTCCGATCTAGGGTCATTGAGACCCTGAACACCCTGTAGCCCCTTCCCTAAAATACAAAAAAAGAAAAACAAACTTCAAAAGAAAAAAAAAAGGGGGGTGGTGGTAGGGAGTGCTATTGGATTTAGCTTAGCAGTAGAAAGCCCTTGGGGTGGGTCACCACAACTAGGGGAAAAAGGGCAGGCCCTGGCTATCTGGTCACATGTCCTCGATCTGGGGAAAGGGGCTGAGTGGCTCCAAGAGCCCAGCCTTGTCTGGCTTCCAAATGACCTGCAGCTGACCCAGCCTTGGCCTCCCTTCCTAGGTGGTGAAAGACACATTACAGTAACCGGAGGACACAGTGCTGCTGTGGCTGCTGTCTGTGGTCTGAGAGCAGGAGATGGGCCACCAAGAGATGAAGAGATGGCCACGCTCACTGTGCCCACTCCAGAAGAGGAAACTGAGAGGGGCTGGGGAGATAGCTCAGCAGAACAAGCGCTTCACTGGCAAGCACAAGGACCTGAGTTCAATCCCCGGTTCCGCAAAAAAAAAAGAAAAGAGGAAATTGAGGCTCAGTGGGGGACAAGGCCATGGGGCTGGAGCAGTTTTTGCTGACCAGTGACCCAAACACTCAGCACAGAAGGTCCTGTTTTTGTTAGGGATGAGATGACACCTGTGATACCGAGGGCTCCAAGAGGATATGGAGCATGTGCAGCAGGCGTGAGGGGACAGCAGTAAGCATATGGTCCCACACTTTTTTTTTGGAGGAACCAGGGATTGAACTCAGGCCCTTGCACTTGCCAGGGAAGCGCGTATTCCACTGAGCCTTCTGCCCAGCGCCATGGCCCCGCACTTCTGCACTGTGGGATGTGGACTGGGGCGGCTCGGCTTGGCACGGATGCTGTTGCTCCTTCCCTCACCAGGGCCAGGCCAGGGTGGCAGCAGACTCTGAAGATTGCCTGGGCATGTGGCAGGAGTGGGAGATGCCACCTCCCCTGGAGGGATGCTTCTCCCGTCTGCCTCCCTGCCTGCTCCAGCTCTGGTCAGGGACGGCAGCCCCTGCTCTCTGCCTTTGTGAGGTGGGAGGTGATAGCTGCCTCGAGACAACTATCTGGCTTCTGCAGGCAACCAGAGGTGAGGACACCCCTGGCCCCCCAACCTCACTGAGAATCCCACCGCCCCCTCCAAGGCCCCAAGCTTGCCCCACAGCCCCGGCTCACACTCGAGGTCCCTACCTGACAGCCACATTGTTGCCCTGTGGCCAGCTGGATGAAGCACCCTGAGGGCAGCCTCAGTGCTCTAGTTCCGGCTGTACCTCAGTGCCTACAATGCTGCATGCATAGTAAGCGCTCAGTTAAGTACTTGCTGGACAAAGATATCCACAGCTGGGCATGGTGGCCCACACTTTTGTGTTTGTGGTGCACACTGGTAACCCTAGCCAGGAGGCTGAGACAGGAGGATGGTTTGTGAGTTCAAGGCCAGCCTACACTGCACAGTGAGACCCTATCTCAAAAAGATGGCAGAGGGGATCTGGGATGTAGCTCAGTGCAAAGGCCCCAGTAATGCAAAGGAAAAGGGCTCTGGGAGGGGCTGGGAGATAGTTTGGTGGTCTAAGTGCCTGCTTGGCAAGTGCAAGGGCCAGGCTGAACCAAGTACTGCATGTCTTGCTGGCCCTAGAACCCCAGGTACGCTGTGCTGGCCACCAAAACTGGGCGGGGTGGCAATCGCAGCACTGGGGAGGCTGAGACAAGAAGAGGATCACTATGAGTTAGAATTACGGCTGCATAGTAAAGGCCCTGTACCAAATAAGTAAAAGATTAAAAAGAAAAATAAAGGGGACCAGGGGCCGGGGAGATGGCTCAGTGGAATAAGCGCTTCCCCGACAAGCGCAAGGGCCCGAGTTCAATCCCCGGTCCGCAAAAAAAAAAAAAAAAAAAAAAAAAGGGGACCAACCACTTGGGGCCCCTCTTCTGTCCCTTTCTCGGACAGAAGCTGTCTTTCCCCCAATAAATATATTCTGCTCATGAAAAAAGTAAAATAAAATAAAAGATAAAAAGCAAGCAAACAAGCAAAGGGCTCTGGGAAAAGCAGGCGGCCCCCAGCCTGACCTGTTTTCTGGGCCTCAGGCTTGCTGCGCAGTGCTCTTCTGAGAGCCCCACCTCACCCCACTCGACTCCTGCAGCTCCTGTTCTATTTGAGCCCATCTTGTAAGACAGAAGCTTCCTTCCCCAGGGCAGACTCTGCTGCTCTTGCCACCTGTCTTATTCTCGGTGCCTACAGTACCTGTCATGCTACGTTTGCTCTCTGAGAACTCCTAAATGAACAGAGAAAAAGTAACGAGGAGCCAGGCATGCTGGTGCACATCTGTAATCCCAGTTCATGGGAGGCTGAGGCAGGAGGATTGGAAGCTCCAGCCTGGCCTGGGGAATTTAATAAAATTGTCTTTTTAAAAAAAGTTAAAAAGAGCTGAGGATATAGCAGAGAAGCCCTGGGTTCCATCCCCAGGGAGGGGGGTGGGGGAAGAATAAGGAACCGAAAGGGAGAGACTACAATTCCGGACAGTCCTGGGCCCCATTCAACCCAACCGCAAACCACCAGCCCATCTCTGGCTGTCTCCTTCCACAGCTGCGCGTGGCCTCTCGCCCTGTAATAACCCCAGATCCCAGGAATAACAGTGCCCAGCAGAGCTCTCGGGAACTGAGGGCCCATCATGTGCCCTGTGCCACTCAAAGCCTTGCATGTGTGTGAACTGATTTAACCTACACAGGGCCCTGTGGGCAGCCCAGGCCAGAGCAGGACACCAAAGCCCACTTCACAGTGAGGACAGCAACCTGCGTCCGTAACCAAGACACCACGGAGCCTCATTTTCCCCCCCTCCTACTACTGGGAACTGAACTTCCTTTCCATAGCTTTTTATTCTGAGGCAAGGTCTTTCTGTGTTGCTAGGCTGCCTACACTGAGCTTGTGATCCTCCTGCCTCAGTCTCCCACATGGTGGACGTCATAAGTGGTCACTACCACATTCTGAGTCACTCTCACTTTGGTTACTTCTCAGAGAGAAGGGAGATCAGAGGTACGAACTGATCTGTAGATACACCAGGAACAGGGGTTCTGCAACCTCTTACCTGAACCCACCAAGACGTCTGGGTTCCCCAGGGTGACAGCTGCAGTGAAGTCTGAACCCCGGTACTCCCCATCCACCTGCCAGTTCACAAACTTTGACTGCTGCGTCTGAGGAAGAGGGGAGTATTAGCGTCTGCAGTGCGCAGGGGCACCTGACCGCAGGGCAGCGGGGTGTGCACCCTCTCACCTGGATGGCCATCTTGGACCTGAGGCCGGGACCCAGCTGGTGAATGATCTGAGCATTGAGGCTGCCACTGTTGTCCATGTCACCCACCAGCACAGGGAAGGCCTGGGGGAGGGGGGAGAACAAGTCAGAGGTCATAGGTCTCACTATGGAAGTTAAGTGGCAGTCTAGGTGACAGGGCTCTCTGCCTGGCGTCCCCTCCTCCATGAAGCCCTCCCTGGTCACCTAGACTGGGGGTCCAACCTCACAGCCTTTAGGGTCCCCTACTGCAGTCCTGTTAGCTGTGAGTTACTACTCTTGGAGCAGGTCTGCCCCATCCTACTGAAATGAGTCGCATGGCTGTCTCAGTCACTGATGTGTCTTTGCACTGGACCAGGCACAAACTAGGGGGTCCAGTGCAAAGACCTGCTCAGTGGATGCACTTATAGAAGGGGAGCAACAATTCTGTAATAACTAGGAGGACCGAATTTGGCAAGCCCCCACCCCCATCTAGGCCTGCAGCGCCCCACCCCACTCCAATATCCAGCCTCCTCAGTGCAACCCAGGTCTGTGTCTGAAGCAGACATCTGATCAGAGTATCTTTTCCAAGTTCAAGTCCATTCACAGCTCTGCAGCGCCCCCTAGAGGAAGCCTGAACTAATGTGGCACCCAAAGGCCTGTGTAATCTGCAGCCTAGCCCTACCCACTACAGGTAATCACTGGTGACCAACAGAGCTGTTGTGGTCACCCCAGTCTCCCCAGCATGACCCAGCACAGGGCTAGACAGACAGCAGGGCTTCAGGGGACACTGCTGGAGGGAGGAATTACCAAGGCCCAATGTACCTTGTCTCCACCTCTCAAGGCCCACAGAGTCCTCAGCAGCAGTGACCTTCTCCCACCAGAACCTCTTCAGCTGGCTGTTTGGTCAACATATGTTTTGTAGATACCACGAATGAATTACACAAGAGCTTACCTCTGTGGGACTCAGCTGCTTTGTTCCCACATATGTGACCCCAAAGTGGTAGGTGGACTCCCCAACTGTGCTGAGGGCTACTGTGTGGTTCACCTAGGAGAAGGAGGAGGGGCTGTGAGGCAGGTGCCAGCCCGCTGAGCTGGTAGATGGGGGTCTCTGGGTTGGGCAAGAACAGAGCCTGGAAGGAGCTGATGACACAGCTCAATGGCGGAACGAGTGAGCAAAGCCGTGGGTACCACTCCACCCACACCACAAAAAGACTAGGCTGTATGGCCGGATGAGAGACAGAAAGGCAGTTACACATCTGCTACTGCACCCTTGCAGGATGTTATGGGGTGAAGGTCACCTCTGAAGTAGTCCCCATGAAGTAGTCGCTCTGGTTTTGTGTCTGAGTCTTTGCAAATACCAAAGAACACAGCCCTTTAGAAAGACAAAAGTCATATGTGCACACACAGGGGAGACACTAGGAAGGCTCACCTGGAAATGGTTACTCAACCCTTTGTTGACAGTGAGTTTGACGCCTTCCATCTGAATAGGAAACAGCTCTGGAGAAGAGAAGAGCTGTCACACTCGACCCCAGTCCCCAGGCAAGCTTCTTCATTCCCTGCCACACCCCCAGCTCTCTCCAAACACCCACAGAACATCTCACAAAGTATTCCAACCAGTACAGGGGAGGCACTGCTGTGAACAGGACCAAGACCTTCAAACCTGTGTCACTACCTCTGTGGTTTTAGGCAAGTCACTTTATTTTAAACCCATCATGTGTCAGTTGGGGGATCCTCACGGAATGGTTGCAAAGACTTAATGACTTAAGACATGCTGAATGCCAGAATGCTGCTCATTAATAAGCCCCCACCACTCTCGCTGTCAAAACTATTACAAGCCAGGCTCCAAAGGCCTGCGGTTCTACCCCTCAAGGGACCCTCGCTGACCTTGTGACCTTGGGCCTCAGTTCCCTTTCTGATCACACCCAGGACTGGTTCGTAGTGACCCCGGGAATCCTGAGCTCCCATGGCCTTTTCCCTACTGCTGACATTCCATCCTGTCGCTGAACCATTCGATTCCACAATTCGAAGCCAGCCTCGCCATTCCACCCTCCGATCCCAGTATCAACTCCTACGGCAGAGTCAAACGATTCCAACGGTGCGCACCGATTCCCGAGGTCCATCATATACCCCCTTCCCCCGATATCTGGGCAGCCAGACTTGGCCGGCCCCTCGCCCCTCACCTTTGCACTTCCGGTGGCACTCCTCGAACGTGCCCGGGTTGGGCAAGCAGCCGCAGGCCCCGTCATCAGCGGCCCCTGCGGTGCTGGAGGCTGCAGCCCCGGGCGTCCGTTCTGAACCTCGGCCCGCGCTGGCCCCGGCGCCCAGTCCGCCCCCGAGCGGCGGCAGCGTAAAGCCGGGTGGGGAAGGAGGAGGCGGCGGCAGCCCCACGAGGGCTGGCGCAGGCGGCGGCGGCGGGCCTGCGGGCGGCGAGCTAGCGGCCAACACGTTCCCCATGGTCGCCTGCGAGGGGAGATGTCAGAGGGCGGAGGTCAGGCCCAGCTTGGCCCGGGCTCAGCCCAAGGCAACCCCTGCCCTGTTGTGGACCCCAGTTCTCACTGGCTGCGGCGCCTGCTCCCAGCCTGGGCTCCGCTCCCACCCCGTGCGCGGCGCGCAACCTAACCTGCTGCCGCCGGCGCCACAGTCGCTCCGCCCCGTCTAGTCCATTGGTTCAGTGTGCACTAGGGTCCACCCACCAACCTGAGGCCCCAGCCTTGTTATTGGCGTTATGGCTGAAAGTTCCACCCATCCCTCTCGAATTTCTTTTTTATTGGTTCCCACAAACAGCCATAAGGTAGGACTTCTCTCCCTTTCCTTTGGCTCGCGGCGCCTTCGCCTATTGGCTCGTGGCGCCGCGGGTTCTGGTACTCTTTCATCATTGGCCTATGAGGAACACTTTGCAACGCCCATTGACGCTAAGCCCTGCCCATTCCCGAGGGGCCTTCTCTTTTTGACTCCGCCCCATGACATACGACTTGATAAGTGGTCGATTTTGACCCTGGAATTGTCCTGATTGGTTCTGGGTTGTAGAGGGGTCAACCTTGGTGTCGTAAAAGCTTGTGTCTCTCATTGGCTAACGTGCCAGGGTCAAAGGATACAGGTAAAGATGCGTTGCACCGCAGAGGCTGCTAGGCAGCAAGGTCAGGCCTCTAGTCCCACCAAGCATCGCTCCGGGGGAGGCGCCCTCTCTGGTCCAGACCCCAAACCGGAAGTGCTTATTTTTCCCACAGTGCCTCGGGAAAAGACCAGTTCAGTGAACCCCACACTGTTTATTACCCATAATGCCTTCATTACCTCAACGCAACTGTAGCCTTAGACCCACCCCTTTGTTACCCATGATGCTGTCGTTCCTCACGTCGCTGCGGCTCGTAGCTCGGGCCCATTCATTCCATTCCCATTACCCAGCATGCATTTGCCTCATTCATTTCGGCTTCATTGCCTCTGAGCTACCGTTAGCCCGTTGCTGCCGCCTCACGCCCATCATTTTCCCGGCCTTTCTCTAATTAAGCATCATGCTTCAGGTCCATTAACTCCGGCCATTACCCATCATGCTCGCGGCCCCTATTTCTCCATTACTCATCGCTCTGCCTCTAGCTTATTCATTTAGATACATTACCCACCATGCCTTCGGCTCCTATTAAAACATTATGCATGATTTTGCTTTTATTCCTACCCTACTTGCCACTTATCCATTAAATCTGAGTTCTTCTTACCTAATTATCTGTGACTTTTATTTCTGTGCATTGCCCATTAGACGGTTGTTGCACAAATTCTATTTTGTTACTATCATGTATGCCCCCGGAGTGCTCCCCACCTCCTTCCATTACCCATCACTTTACTTTTTTTTCTGTCTTTTTGGGACATGGCCTTGATATGTAGTTCAGGCTGGCCTTGAGCTCACTTTGTACCCCGGGCTGGTTTCAAACTCACAACCATCTGCCTGCCTCAGCCTCCCAAGTGCTGGGATTACAGGTGTGTGCCACCGCACCCAGCCTCACTTGGTTTTATGCACCTTTGCTTATTACCCTGTCACGTCACTGACTTTTTCTTTCTCTTCCTTGTACCTGTGGTCCCTTTTACTCCTGCTTGCAATCATTTTGACTTCTAGTTCACTAGTTCCAAAACTCTGGAACCCTGTTCAGTGTCTTTACGTCCCACCCCCGCCCTCTTCACATCCCACAAAAAACACAAGTCTGATCAAAGTATAAATTCATATTTTGTAGGAAATTCTAGGTTATAAAACAATATCTTAACCCCCACCCCCAACCCAGGTGACCCATTTTTTCCCCCAAGAAGGATGTTTAGGTCTCTTCCCAGAGGGCAGAGATCAGAGGATTCAGTAGTCTTCCAAGTAACAGCCAATTCTCCACCCACAGCTGGGTGACCAAGGCAAACGCCTGGAGCTTTTCCTCTAGCACTGGGCTGGAGTTCATGCTCTGCACAAAGGAATTAGGTGGTAGGGCTCAGAGAAGGGCTTGGACCCTGAGACTCCTGCCCGCAGGAGGGGAAGATGGGAAAACTCGGCTTAAGGCTGGGAATCCCCTTCCCTCCTACCTGTGTGGAGCAGGGTGGGGAGGAGACAAAGGGGCTCTGCTGCCTGGAGGGCTCAAGTCTGAGCAACAGAGAACCCCTAAATGCCTGTGCTTTCAGACCTGTCGGGACTTACTGCCTGAGGATAAATCAGAGGTCTGGAGTTTTTAGGATTTCTGGAGGAGTAGAGAGATGTGGGCCAGCCAGAAGCGAGTGCTACAGCCTAAAGTCACAGTTTGGGAAACAAATCCTGGTGGTCAGAGGTTGTGCAGAAATATCCTCTCTACTCCCTGCCTCTTGTGATAAAGTTACCAGGCTTCCACTGTCTTGAAGTTTCTCTGGGTTCAGGATTTTGGGTTAGAGGTCACAGACGAATGTCCATGTGTTAACTGACAGTGGCTTGGCCAGATGACAGCATGCACCAGGTCCCTAGCAAACATAAGGGATCAGAGGTGACCGGTGAGAGACCAGAGCCCTCACACATACATGGCCCGGGACACAATGAAGCCTTTGTCCTGGTAGGATTCAGAGGGGCTGTTATAGGATAGGGCGTCGTAGATGGGGTCGATCTTGTCCAGATAGTTTTCCTCTGTCTCCTCCTCTTCCTCATCTAGATCCAGGGAAACCCCTTCCACACCAGGTGACCCTCGGGGCACCACAATGGGGGGTCCTAGACTTGTGGCCCCCAGCAGCAGAGGCCCTGGCCTCTCTTCCAAGGTGGGCAACTCATGGTATCGAGGCATTTCCTGGAGGGGGAGAGGGGAACTCAAGTTCATCTCCTGAGTGTGAAACAGCCCCAACCTGCTCTGCGCTGGGATTACAGGTGTGCACCACCATGCACCAGGTTCCATGGATAGCTCAGTGTGCCTGGGGGCAGGCTCAGTGGGGCATGTAATGCTGAGGATTGAACCCTGAACCCCAGTCTCTGCACTTGTCTTAGTCTGCTGAGCTATCCACGGCCCCTCACACAACCTGCTCTTAAGCCGGAAATCCTGACTACCCTTTCCTCATGCCAATCAGACCCAACTTCACCCTGACATCCTCATGGCCTAAGTCAATACTGCACTGGGGACAATCACACAGCCTGTCTCTAACCCAAAGCCCTCTGTCATTCCTGGGCCTTGATTTTTTTTTGGCGAAACCGGGGATTGAACTCAGGCCCTTGCACTTGCCAGAGAAGTGCTTATTCCATTGAGCCATCTCCCCAGCCCTGATCCTCAAGTCTTTTACCCATGAACATGTATCTGATCTCAATCTTGACTTCACCTATTTAACCTTGAACTTTAACACCTTAAACAGAGATGTCTCAGTCTGAGTACCCTGACCTTCAGCGGCAACTCAGTTCTCTCCTCCCATCTCTGGCCTCAGCTGACAAATATCACTGCTACAATGATCTTCACTGACCCAGTGGCTTTGACTGAATGTCCTTGGACTCTGTTCCTGGTCTCCCACTCCGAATCCTGAACACTGCTCTGAGAGCTGACCTTGAGAGGTGGCCTTAGTTTTCTGAGGCCTTCAACCCTGATTCCAGCCCCACTGTCCACCCCCAGCCCGAGCTCCTTACCTGCTCAGTACCTGAGACGCCAGCATCAAAATAGGGGGTCTTGAGTGGGCTGTGCTCCGAGGCTCCCAGAGTGAAGAGCTGGGAAGGCTGTGGCAGGAGGGGAGGGCAGATCAAGACCCACCCATTGGCCTCTCCCTGGTAGGGGGTTGGGGGTAGGGTAGGGGTAGGGAGCCTGGCTTGGGCTCAGGGAATGGCTCACCATCTCTGGCTCCTCCAGCTTCGCCTTCACCTTTGGGGTGGGTGGCTGGTAGGAGGGCGGTCCTTCCAGGCTGTGGGGTAAGAGGAGTGTGAAGCAGAGGTTGAATCACAAGAATGGTTCCCCACCTTGACCAGCATTAGGGGGCTGTTGCTCTCTGGGTCCGGATCTCCCTTTCTGTGGCCCTGCCTCCAACCAAGAGAACTCCTATTCATCCCTTGTCCCGGGAAGCTCCCCAGATTCTCTCGAGGGAAGGGATCAGGAATGCCCGTCACTTCCAGCCTCTCGGGTGTTGCTGGCTGTGAGTTCCGTGAGGCAGAGTGAGGCCACAGTTGCCCAGGCAGAATGCCTGTGAATTTGCAGTGAAGCTCTGGCCTGAGCCCCCCACAGAGGCTACGGTCCCCCATTCTGCACCCTCAAAGACCACTGTACCCAGGGACACAACTGTACCTTTACTCAACCTCCTTTGTCCCTTTGTTGCCTCTGTCCCTCCAGGCTGGGTGGGTCACGGGCCCCATCTGGCCTGTCAGAGCCCCCTAAGTGTCCTCAGCCTCAGTGGCCAGGTTGGGCCGAGCTGTCTCCTCCACCTCAGCACCTGGGGCTGGGCACTGGGCTGGCAATGCCGGAAACAGCAGCAAGCTTCAGGTTTACACCCTCCTGCTCCTGAGACTAACTTGGGGAGCCCCTTAGGAGGGCGGTACTGGCGATGAAAATGGAGCCGCCTATATTAGGCCAAGTATTCCACCACTGAGCTATATCCCGGGCCCTTTTTTATTTATATTTATTGAAACGTGAGACAGGATATTGCTAAATTGTTTATGCTGTTGAATTTGCAATCCTCCTGCCTTGGCTGGGATTACAGGTGGCAGCCTGTTGTACATACAGATTGATTCATTTAGGGCCAGGCCCAAGCACAAGAAGGTGATTTTTTAGTGAGTGCCCCCTCTTTCCCAAACTGTGGTGTTGCGGGCCTGCCCATTAGTTCAGTTGCTTAAGTGCCTGCTTAAACAAAGCAGTTAGGGGGGCCTGCCCATTAGCACAGTTGTTTAAGTGCCTGCTTAAAGCAGTCAGGCTCAGGATGCTCTGGTTCAAACCCAGTCTCTCCCAAGAAACCAGAGATGCCCTCAAGGCATCTTCAGACAACAAACAAACAAACGAACAAACAAAACAACAACAAAAAACCCCCCCAAGCAGTCAGGCTCAGGATGCTCTGGTTCAAACCCAGTCTCTCCCAAGAAACCAGAGATGCCCTCAAGGCATCTTCAGACAACAAACAAACAAACGAACAAACAAAACAACAACAAAAAACCCCCCCAAGCAGTCAGGCTCAGGATGCTGTGGTTCGATCCCTAGATCCTCAAGCCAAACCAGACTTGCCCTGAAGTCATCTTGAGGCCACAACAACAAAAATCCGTCTGCCAAACTGTGGTGTTATTTAAGAAAGCTCTGGCCACAAAACAAACATAAAAACTTGATGGGGGCCGGGGATCTCAGGGGCACAGCGCTTGCCCGGCAAACCCAAGGTCTTGAGCTCAATTCCTGATACTGAAAAAAATAAAAAAACCAACCAAACAAAAAACACCTGATAGGGCTGGTGAGATGGCTCAGTGGTCTAAAGCACCTACTTAGAACAAGCTAAGCTAAGCAAAGCACAGGGACTG